ATCATCATCATCACCACCATCATCATCATCATCATCGTCATGATCATCATCAGCATCATCATCATCGCCATCATCATCATCATCATCATCATCATCATCATCATCATCATCATCCTCATCATCATCATCATCATCATCATCATCATCATCATCATCATCATCATCATCATCATCGTTACCATCATCGCCATCATCGCCATCATCGCCACCACCATCATCATCATCACCACCACCATCACCATCATTATCAGAGAGGGGACCTGGCGTACCTCCGTCAGCGACTCGAGCGAACCTGGGCCGCAGCACGCGGACGAAGACGACGACGACGTTGCTGTCCAGCGCCCCTGGGCCGCTCGACGGGCCCGCGCACTCGAGGGGTGCCGCGCCGAACAAGTCCCGGAGCTGACCGGCCAGCCCTGCCCAGCCCTGCCCAGCCTAGCACGAAAGGCTCTCGGCGAGTGCCCCGACAAGGCCCGCATCCCCGAGATCCTGGCGTTGAGTTTTTTTGCCACCGCCGGCGTGGTCGCTCCCTTCCGGGCCCCGGGGCCCGTACAGATCGAGCTGGCTCGAAAAGGGGCGCAGAAAGATGGGGTCCGGGGCTCCGATTGCGATGTTTTGTAGGAGCCTGCTTTTCTCTAGATCCAGGCAAGCTTACTTGCATGGCGTTCGCCCCCCCCCCCCCTCCCCCCTCGCCCCTCTTCAATCGAACACGAGCGTGCAAGTGCCTTTCGACTTGCGTGATTTCCGCGCGTCGAGTTGTTTTCGGCTTGCCTCAGACTCAGGCCCCCCCCCCGTCCATGCAAGTAAACTTGCCCGAATCCACAGAAAAACAGGCACTATAGTGTTGCAGTTGTCTTGCCACGTCGGATCTCGGGGTCGGCTGATCGTCGGGCCACCGTTCGCGTCGACCCCTGGGCGCCCGCGCAGTGCGGCGCTGCTCGGCTCGCCTCCTGCCTGCGGCCCCGCAGGTCGGGGCTGGGAACGGTGGGCGCGTGGCGCTGCATCTTCGGAGGGCCCTGTCCACTCTCAGAACCCAGACCTCCTCGCGTCGTGAAAAAAATCACGACGGAGGTTTTTCGCTATTTTCGGCCTCCGGGGGCCCTTCCCGGGCCTCGGGACCGTCAAAAAACGACTCAGGACGAAAAAACGGTCCCGGGGAAAGGGTCCAGACCTCTGGGGGTCGACGTCGTGAAAAAATCACGACGTCGGGGGTCTGGGAATGGCGTGTTTGTTGTGTGCCGCGCCGCCGACGGCACCACCACCACAGCATCTTGCCTCTTCCGGTACTTCGCCGCCGGGTTCCTGTTCAAGGCGTTCCTCTGCAAGCACAGCGTCCTCGGCACCGCCTGATTCCGGGGCTCTGCCCCCTCCTGGCCTTGAAGTGAGGCCCCTCCTTCTGCCCCCTCTCGTTAATTCAAGCTGTGCGCGGCCCGCTTAGCTTCGACCGGAAGAGGTGCGCTCTCGACCCGCGAATCAAAAAGTTTGTTGTGTGCCCGACGAGGGTTGCATGCGGATTCGACGCGTGCTTGACGTGGGTTCGACGCGGATTCGACGCCGATGGGCTAGGGGCGCGTCGGGACAGACAAGGCCCCCCGAGAACGCAACATGAGCTAGACGCTGGGGCCCGTCTGGGGCCCGATGTTGGTTTAGAGGTGGAGGTCGCTTTGCGGAAGCCTACAGCACGAGAGCCCACCTCACCAGACGTATTCTGCAAGTTGGCGAACTCGTTCTGCAAGAGGTGATTTTATTTCCCAACCCGCCCCGCGTCCTCCTTCCTTCCACCTCCCACTCTTCCGTCCTCCCGTCCATGCCTCTGCTCTCCGCATGTCTATCTGGGCACACCAATCACACGTTTCGTGGCCCCATAAGAGGGCTTCACCGAACGCCCCAGGGATGGTACCGCAAAGTGTCCCCCAGCCTTTTTTTCCAGCCCATCGCACGCTTCGTGGCGCCCTAGGGAACTCCACCGAGGGGGTGGCACCGCATAGTGTCCTCCAGCCCATGTCGGGGCACCCTTAATACGCTTCGTGGCCCCATAGGGAGCTCCGTAGAAGGCTCTAGGGGGTGGTACCGCATAGCGCCCCCAAGCCCCATTCGGCACACATTCACACGTTTCGTTGCCCCTAATTATTGGGGCTCCACCGGCACCAGGGAGGTTACCGCACAGCGTCCGCGAGCACGTTTCGGTGCACCCCTCACGTTCCGTGGCCCCATGGGGAGCTCCGCCGATTCTTCAGGGGGTGGTACCGCATGGCGTCCCTCAGCCTTTTTCGGCACGCCCCTCACGCACTTCGTGGCCCCACGGGGAGCACCGATCGCTCCCAGGTGGTGGTACCGCATACTGTCCCCCAGCCGAGTGCGGCCACATGGGGAGCTCCACGAGAGCCCCCAGGGCGTCTCCCCCAACCCTTTTCAAGGCCTTCCCTTGCACGCTTCGGGGCCCCACAGGGAGCTCCACGAGAGCCCCCAGGGCGTCTCCCCCAACCCTTTTCAAGGCCTTCCCTTGCACGCTTCGGGGCCCCACAGGAGCCTCACCGAACGCGCCAGGGGGTGGTACCACATGGCGTCCCCCAGCCCTTGCCAAGGCACACCCCTCAAACGCTTCGTGGCCCCACAGGGAGCCCCACCGAACGCGCCAGGGTGTGGTACCACATAGCGTCGTCCAGCCCATGTCAGCACACCCCTCACACGTTCCGTGGACCCAAAGAGAGCTCGACCGAAACACCCAAAGGGCGGTGCCGCATATCGTCACCCTTCCCATGTCGGCACACTCCTCGCATGCTCCGTGGACCCATATGGAGTTCCACCTGATAGAGGCCCCAGTGGGTGCGACAACAGCGGTTCCACTCAATGTCGGCGCACCATTCACACGTTCTGTCCGCAGTGGGTGCGTTCACATACGGCTCCCCGCCTACGTCGGCGCACCCCGCACACGCTTCGTGGCTCCATGGGCAGATAACCCTCCCTGGTCCCGCTTACCCTGCGGTGCTCACACTTACATCTGGTGGGGCCCTTCGCTAGGATATTTCCACGTGCTCGCAAAGCAAGATCAAAGGGAGCCTCATCGAATTCTGTGTCATCGCCCACAACCAGCCCAGACGGGAGCCAAACACCTGGAACCCCCCCTTCTGAATGTAAGCCCCGCCAGCTTCACACGCAGCTGCTCGCCGGATTCAGGCGTACTTTCGTCGAGGGCGAACGCTGGTGAACGTCTGTACCAGTTCTGGCGCATTCTCGTCAGACAGGGTTTCTGACCTCCTCCCGGCGGTTTGGTAGCAATTTCTTTAATAATGTCCTGAGCATTACTTTGCAGGCTCTCTCCCCCCGCCGTAGGGTGCCTGGCTAAACTTGGCGGACAGAGCGTGGAGTTCAAACAAAAGCACCGCTGCTGCCACATAGCCTGGCCTGCTCGCCAGCCTCGCTGGACCCTGTCCCGTGCCCCTCGGGCCACCGCCTCGGCCTCGAGGCTCTTCACGGGGCACGCGCGGGCATCGGCCAGGCCCCTCCAAGCGCTCCGACATCGTCTGCGCCGCGTGGAATCACTGCCGTGGTCGGGCCTGCCGCCCGCCGGCCGCACGCCTCCGCTGCCGCAGGCGAGTCCATAGAGCACATTCGCAGCTGCAGCGCAAGTCCGTGCTCCACAGCCTCTTGGAGGGTCCGCCGCGTCGCTGCCAGGCGGGGCACGACCCATACACTTTGGCTCGAGCTTGCTTGTGCGTGGACTTGCGTTCGCGGTGCGGTTCTCATCCAGCACCGTCGTGCGCGGCAGCAGCTTCTGACATAAGCTCCGCGCTACCAGTTTTGGGGACCCTCTAGCTGGAACGGTGGGCGTGGCACTGTCGATACGCGAACCATCACGGGAGGGGGGGTATGGAGGCCCCTCGTGCAACACTCATTGCTTACACCCGAGTGTGCCCCTTTCTGGTTCCTCCGCCCCAGGCATGCGGGCGACTGATTGCGAGGAGAACGCAGGCGATGACAGAATCCCCCCGCTATGCAAGCATGTTATTTCGGTCGGAATGCTTGAAAGGCAGACAGCCACATTGAACAATAATGGAATGCGTGGCACACCGTCATAGCACACGTGCGCATGTAGGGATGGTTGATGGTATGCCGAAGTGCTAGCCGAGGCACAGGTATCGCTGGCTCACGCATCCTCCTTATCTCCAGCCGAATTATCACATGCCTCCTCCTCCTCCTCGTCCGTCCTTGGACGTTTTTCGTCTCCGCAGCATAGCATCTTGGCCCCGGCAGCTTTACCTTTTGCCCGTCCATATTTCCCGATACCGAGACGGCCGCTCGAGCGTGATGTTCCGCATGCTCGCCACGTTGCTCGTGGGGGCCTCTCTTGGCGGCCTGGGGGCCGCCCTGGTCGGACCTGGCCCTCACGCCAAGCCGAAGCCTTTCACGCTGGAGGAGAGCTGCAAGCCAGAGAACCGCGCGTCGGCCGCTGACGAATTGCTGCCCCTGTTCCAGACCAATTACGACGCCAAAGTGAAGGAGGCTTTCGCGAGCATCGGCGGGCCAGCGATGCTGACCATCGGAGACGGGCACTCCAACGGCCTGTTCTTCAACTTCATGGCCCACGTGAACCGCACGGTCGTGGAGCAAAGGGTGAATCTGCCGGTCGTGAATGTGGCCCTGGACCAGCTGGGCATGAAGGGCTGCGAGGCAACCCAGCAGCGGCTCGCCGCTACGAGCCCCCGCTCGGGCTTTGTGTCGCGACTGAGGACGAAGCTCTCCGGGAAGAAGCCGCAGCCCACGCCCGTGCTCAAGTGCGTGAGCGTGGAGGGTTGGCTGCCGAGCGAGCTATCCCAGACCGACCAGGACCCACGGACTCACGTCCTGAACCCCCATCAGTGCCGACGCCCTTGGCAGCACCGTCTCGAGACGGCCATCTGTGTCATGTGCGCGGTGCCTCGAACGGCCAGGGTCCTTCCGGAGACGGTTTTGCTGAGGGGGCCAGCGCCGATGGGCGGTCCAGATGAGTTCGCTGGCAG